CTTGGTGCTAAAACTTTGACCTTGGCATGTATGCTTTGGTGCTTAAGCTTTAGTTTTGCCATGTAACATTCAGTGTTGAAGTTTTGATCTTAACATGTAGCATCTGTTATTAAAGTCTTAGTGTGTAACATCTTTTACTTTAGCCTTGGTGTATAATATCTTTTACTTTGGCTTTGGCGTGTAACATCTTACACTGAAGCTTTAGTCTTGGCATATAACATCTGTTGCTAAAGTTTTGATCTGTAACATCTGCTTAAACTAGTAATATTGTTTTGATTTTCTTTTCTATTATTAAATATGATCTGTAACTTGCTCTTTTATAGTTTACTGCAATATAAACTATCAGAATTAAAACATATAATAACTTTTTTTTCAACTGTAACAATATTTTTTTAAACATAACATGTAATAACAATATATTTTAAATATAATGTATAATTTGTTCTCTATATTTGTATTTTACTGAGATATAAATTTTTGGAATTAAGCATTTTCACGATAAAGATAAAGTTTAAAATTAAAAAAAATTGACATAAAAATGAAGATATGTTGAAAAATTATTCAACCTTAACGTTACTGCTAGGATAAAATGGACTTGGACGAAAAGGTATTATTCAAAGTCTTCAAATTTGGATAATTAGTTTTTAGATTATTTTATTTGTTACATTTCTTGCAATCATAAAACAAAAACATGGCATCTAACATTTTTTTTAACATGGCATGTAACAATATTTTTCAACATGGCATGTAATAATATTTTTTTCAACACATGAATTTGAATATAAGAAGGTTTCATTAAGGACAATTTTATCCAAAATTTTTTCTTTTTTTGATTAAAAATAGTTAAAATTAAAAAAAATTATTTTTTAAAACACCTTATCTTTTAGAGGTAAAAACAAAATTATCCTTTACGAATATTAACAATATTATAATACATAATTACACATTATGATATCTAAGATCACAATATAAAATGTTAGTATACATACTTTATTTTTTAATAATATAAATTTTAAATTTAATATTCTCTAAATAAAATTTAAAATGATATAATATTACAATATTAGAAATACTATAAAATATTTATACTATAATATTAAGAAATTAAAATATAATTTTACATGCAATAGGTTTGTAATTTTACACAAGCATGATACTTAAAGAAAATGATAAAATTGTTGGTATATGCCCTTGAGTCAATTAAATTGATCAAGGAATATATATTGTCATTTAATGGGTATTTAATCGCATAACTATATGTGACAATAATAAGGAGGTATTAAATACTAATTGAATGAAGCCCATGGAACATAAAAGTTTTGTAAGAGAATTGTAAAGTTGTTACAATTATGAGATCACTATG